TATATCGATAGATCTTGAAGTATATATGTAGAAACCTCATTTATTTCTACTGGGGAAGATGTGATATCTTTAATCTATCATATTTATCATGCTATATCTAGAAATACATCTATATATCTAGAAATCTATCATATATGTATTTATATTGGGTAGAGGTGTATCTTTATATAATCTACCATATATTATGCTATATCTAGAAATACATCTATATATCTAGAAACCTATCATACGTATTTCATAGTTTCATAGTTTCATAGTTTCAGGGTCGGAAGGGACCTAATAGATCTTCTAGCCCGACCCCCCGCCAGGGCGGGAGAACAACCCAAAAACACAAACAAAACCACTCACCCTAAAAACAAAAACGGGACTCAAATGAGTCCAGCCAGGTAAGTATCCAGCCTCTTCTTAAAGATCCCCAGGGTAGGGGCCAGCACCACCTCCCTTGGAAGTTGGTTCCAGCTCCTAGCCGCCCTGACTGTGAAGTAGTTTTTTCGGATGTCCAATCTGTACCTCCTCTCCATCAACTTGTGCCCATTATTCCTTGTTATGCCAGCAGGGGCTAGGGGAAACAGCGTCTCCCCCAAACCCTTCTGGTTCCCCCTAGTGAGTTTATAGACTGTCAGCAGGTCCCCCCTCAGCCTTCTCTTGTGGAGGCTGAATAGGTTCAAGTCCCGCAGTCTCTCACTGTAGGGTCTGCCCTGTTGTCCCCGGATCATGCGGGTGGCCCTCCTCTGGACCCTCTCCATGTTGTCCACATCCCTCCTGAAATGGGGCGCACAGAACTGGACACAATACTCCAGCTGCGGCCTGACCAGCGTCGCATAGAGGGGGAGGATCACCTCCCTGGCTCTACTCGAGATGCACCTGTGGATGCACGACAAGGTCCGGTTAGCCCTGCCAACCATGACCTCGCATTGTCGGCCCATGTTCATCTTGGAGTCAATAATGACACCAAGATCCCTTTCCGCCTCCGTGCTCTCAAGTAGGGAGCTCCCCATCGTATAAGTGTGCTGCTGGTTCCTACTACCCAAGTGCAGCACCCTGCACTTGTCCGTATTGAAACGCATCCTGTTCCTGTCTGCCCACCCCTGTAACCTATCCAGATCCTTCTGCAATCTCTCTCTCCCTGCTAGCGTGCTCACCTCCCCCCAAATTTTGGTGTCATCAGCGAATTTAAACAGGTTGCTCTCCACCCCAACATCAAGATCGCTGATGAAGACATTGAACAGCGCAGGGCCCAGGACCGAGCCCTGGGGGACTCCACTACCCACCTCCCCCCAAGTCGAGTATGATCCATCCACCACCACCCTCTGAGTGCGAGTGCGAGGATACAAATCTACCCACTATTTATAGTGGGTAGATGTGTATCTTTATATAATCTATCTCTATCATACATTTATTACTATATATCTAGAAATCTATCTATATATCTGCAAAATACGTATGTATATTGGGGAAGATGCTATATATCTACAAATCTACAATACATGTATGTATATTGGGGAAGATGTGAAATCTTTATAAAGTCTATAATATGTTTATTATGCTATATCAATATCTTTATATAGTCTGTTTATTATGCTGTACCTATACATCTAGAAACCTATATCTAGAAACCTATCCTGTATTTATTTCTATTGGGGAAGATGCAATACCTTTATATAATCTATCATATATTTATTACGCTCTATCTAGAAATATATCGATCTATCTACAAATCGATCGTATATTGATTTATCCTGGGTAGTTGCGTCTCTCTTATAGAATCGATCGTATATTTATTACGATACATCTCGACATCTAGAAATATATCACTATAGATGTACACATCTACATACATATATACATCCTATATACATATAACACATATATTGTAGATTTGTAGGTAGATATACACATCTATATACAATATAGATGTACACATCTATGTATCCATAGAGGTACACATCTATAAGATTTGTATGTATATCGGGGAAGATGGGATACAGTCCCTAACATAGTTATTATGGTATCTCTAGACCCCTAGAAGTATATATTTAGAAATCTATCCTCTATGTCTTTATATTTGGGAATATAATCCACGTAGGATGCTCTATCCATACATCCTGGGATACATGAAGACGTGCACGTGCTGGGGGAGACGCCCCATCCCGTCTCCTAATAACCGTGCACGTCCCTCTGGGTCTAGACACGGCTGGGGCAGGCGGGGGGTCGGGGCCCGAAGGCGGGTTCGGGGCAGCGCGCCGCCCGGCCGAGGGGTGCGCGCGCGGACACGTGGGCGGAGAGGGGGGCACTTCCGCTTCCGGAAGGCGGCAGGGCGGCGGACAGCAATGGCGGTGCTCAGCGCGGGGGCGGCGCGGGGGCTGCTGCGGCGGGTGTCG